GCCGTCGTCGGTCGTGCTGCCTGGACGGGGGGGAACTGGGAGAGGCCTGGCGTGGTGAGGTGGCCTGGTGGGGCGGCGTAAAACAGGGCTACGATCGGGATCAATCGCTCCAGAGCGTTCCGGAGCGCTCTCAGAGCGTTCTGGAACGCTCTGGAGCGGTCGCGGCGCCCAATACATCCTCCAAACCCGCCGATTCTCAGAGATTTCGAGTTATCCCGATCCGATTTTGTCCCGATCTTCGCGTCGTTTTACGGCGAGTCACGGCGGCGGCCCGCGGCGTCCCGCTGTGCCCAGCAGGCGGGAGGCGTGCCGCTCCGCTCCGCGGGGCAGGGCGGGGGGAACGGCTCGAGACGTGGACGCCCGGGGGCCTGATGACTGGGGCGTGGCTTGCGCGTCGCGCCGCAGCGTGGTAGGCCAGAGCTGGCAGCGCGACGCGCCGACCCACAGCTCCTCACCGTGGAGGCCCTCCCGGCCGGCCCAAGAGGGCGTCAGCCCCGCTCCTGGGCCAAGCATGGGCCTGGCAAGGGGCGGTGGGGACGTGTGGACCTCGTCGTCCCACGGCGACTCGGAAGCCCACGCGCCGGCGCCGCCAAAGGGTGGGGGGCCCTTCTCGCGGGCGTCGTCGTTGTCGTCGTGGGTGTGGGTCGTCGTCGGCGAGCACCCCATGCGGTCGTCGCCGACATCGTCGATGGTCGTCGGTCGCCTGTCGTCGCCCACCATCGGTCGCTGGCAGATGTGGTCGTCGGCCGGTGGTCGGTCGTCGGCGGCCAGGTCTGTCGCAGCCGTTGGCGCACGCAGTCGCTCGTCGGTCGCCGACTGTCGTCGGACGCCCGACGTCAATCGTCGTCGTCGTCGTCGTCGTCGTCGTCGTCGTCGTCGTCGTCGTCGTCGTCGTCGACATCGACGTCGTCGTCGTCGTCGTCGTCGCCGCCGCCGCCGCCGCCGTCGTCGTCGTCGTCGTCGTCGTCGTCGTCGTCGTCGTCGTCGTCGTCGTCGTCATAGTCGCTGCTGTCCTCGTCCTCCCCCCCCCTGCTCCCGCTCCCTTCCCTTCCCCCCCCGTCTCCCTGCCCCCCCCCGCTGCCCCCGCCCACTTCTGCCCGCTTCAGCCCCCTCGCCCTCCGCCCTCTCCCTCTTCTTCGCCCTTCGCCCTCCGCCCTCTCCCACTTCTGCCAGCTCCAGCCCCCTCGCCCTCGCCTCTCCCTCCGTTGATCCAATGTGCGGCCCAAGGGGCCCCGACCCGTTCCCCAGGGCCCGCTCTTCTTCCACGGCCCACCTTTGGCGGTCCCGCGGGGCCCACTCACGGGCCCCCGGGGGCCGACATCAAGGACAAACCGCGGGAGCTAAACGAACCACGGGGAAGGAGGAGGGGCCACGGAACCATGGAGAACGGACAAGCGGCACCCGCGCGAGTGGTCTGCCTCACGCAGAGTGCTGCCCCATCGCAGAGCGGGCCGCCCTCCGCCCCCGCACGGGGAGACCGCCCTCCTCGCGTGCAGGAGAGGCCGCTCGCTCATCGGCGAGGAGCCCACGCAACGCGGTCGAGGTGCAGGTCAGCGCCACGTCGCCCCGCGACTCGCGGCTCATGCGTGATGGCGGTAGGAGGAAGATTCCTCCTGTAGAGGGACCATCCTAACGCTGCCCCTGCCCTTCCCATCCCTGGCTTCTGGGCAAAGAAAATTCGGACCTCTGATGGCCCTTCGTGTCGACCCTGGCACCCCTCCGAAACGCTCTCGACGAGGCGCAGCGGACGAGAAAACCACTCGGGGCCTCGAAACCTTTCGACACCATCTCCGAAACCTGTCGAGCACTTTCAGCCCTGAACCCGAGAACCAAAAAAGGCATAAACATAAACGTTTGAAGGTCCGCGCGGATTTCTTGGATCTTCGCTGGACCCCCCTCCCTGGCGCGCGAAGCCCGCCAGGGGCGGCGCCGGAGGCGCCGCCAGAGGGGTCCCAGCACAGTTCTAAGAAACCCGCGCGGACCGCCAAAAGTTTCTGCTTATGCTGTTGGTGATCTTCGATGAACCCTGAGCCTAGCCTCCAAGGGTCGATGCACCTCCCCCTGAGCCAATCCTCCCCGAACGCAGCCCCCGAGAGAGTGCGGTCCGGGGCTCGCTGGGTCCGGCCGCGGAAGGCCCCCCCCGCGCCGCGCCGGCGGGGGGACTGCGGGCTGCGGTCGGGGGGCGTCGAGACGAGGAGGGCGAGGGAGGGGACTCACGGAGGACCGGGGGTAGGTAGCGGACGGGGGTCGCGGACGGAGAAGGGGGTGGGGAGCAGAATGGAGGAGAAGGGCGATTGAGGAGGAGGACGGGGGTGGACGAGGAGGAAGAGGAGGACGGGGTGACGAGGACGAGGGAGGAACGAACAAACGAACGCCGGAGTCGTGCGTGCACCTGCAGGGGAGGACGGGTGAGGAGGACGGTGAGGGAGGAGGAAGAGGAGGAGGAGGCGGAGGAGGAGGAGGAGGGGGAGGAGGGGGAGGAGGAGGAGGAGGAGGAGGA